GATCCCGCCCCTCCCCGGTCACTGCTCGCTCGAGGAGCCGCTCCCCGGAGCTCCGCCCGCTCCCCGGCGTTATTTCAGCAGCACCGCAGCCCTGAACGCAGATTAACGCGAGGGATGCTGCTGCAACTGTTGGGTTTTCCCTCATCTTTGTAATGTTGTAACCAGGTTTTACTAATTGACAGTGTTGTGAGAGTGAAGGATCCAGCCCTGTAGTGAAAGCCAAGGTGATTAAGTCTTTATAAATGCTTAAATAGTTAAAGGTTGTTACCACTTTGGAATATTTAAGCATTTAGAAGTGATAACAACCTTGGAGGTAAAAGGGCTCGTCCAGCAGCAGGCAGCATAAAGTCAAGTTATCCCTGTTTTCCTCCCCTTCTTTGAGACACAACCTGTTCCTCTTCCAACAAACTCTAAATAGAGCAACCAGCTCACTGATGAGCACAGAAACCAACCTTTCCTTTCCTAAGGGCACTTATTTAAATCTCTCTTTAAATCTCTCTCCTTCAATAGTCATCATTTTTTCCACAAGAAAATGTAGGAACTTAAAGCTTCATCCACCTTACTCTCTCAAATCAGGCTGAAATAAAGATAAAAACATTAAACATGAGAAAGAAAAATTCCTTCTTCCTGTGAAGATGGTCAAGCACTAATTAGAACAGAGGTTGGGAAGTCTTTATCCTTGGAGTTTCAGGATACAGCCCTAAAGCAACCTGCTGTAGTTGGCCCTGCTCTGAACAAGGTGGTTGGGCTGGACAACTTCCAGAGGTCCCTTCCCTCCTGCAGTTTTGCTGTACTAGAGAAAAAACAAAACAAAACAAAAACACACAAAAAATCCCCCCCAAAAACACGAAAAACAACCCACCAAAAAAAAGACAGCTCACATCAAAGGCAAATGAAAAGGGTCAGGAGGGACCAGGTTCACAGGTTAGGGCAGGGCTCAGGGTCAGGAGTCATGTAAACAAAAGCATAATAAATCTATGGCCTCGTCTGAGCTTTCATCATTTATTCAGGAATGTAAGTACAATTAAGTGGTTTGGTTTATGTGTCTTAAAAACCCACTCAGGAATGTAAGGAAGATTATGGAAGTGTCACATAGCTAATACTCTTCAAAAATGCACCAACTATAATCCTATAAATAACCAAGAGAAAATACCAACCTCAGTGTTTTTTTAACTCCCCAGTATTAAGCATTATAAATAGAATTTCTATACAGAAACATTAACAGCTTTCCAACAGCGGACTTACAACTCCACGAGAAATACTTGCTTATTAATAATCCAGGAGCTATGACCAAGCTGCTTGTGTCTCAAACACAGGCTGAGCTTTCATTTACACGACTAATTGAACATTTTCTTGTCTGTCAAGTTCCACAATAGCAAGTTCTTTCAAGATTTGTATTCTTGAGTCACTGGCTTTCAGATTCATCTTGTTCATCTGTGAAACACTCAGCGCTGCTCTGTAAGACAAAAGCAAACTCTTTAGCTAAACAGGGTATCAAACATCAGGTCTGGCAGAAAAAGGCTAAAAATACTGTTTAGTGAATGATTTCTGTGACTGCTCTGTAATTCTCATGCTTAGTCAGACAGTCATCAACTTTTCTGTGCTGCTTCAAATGGAGAACAATCAATTGCTAATCCAACCTTAGGGTTAAAGAGACAGAATTCCCAAGTTAAAAATGTTCTCATTTTTAATAGCAGCCTGCAAGAAATCTGCAGCATGCACCCCAAACAGGGGTGGGGGCTCAGGGAGGCAGGAGGGGTTGGTGTGGGGAGGGCAGGGTGCTGGGCTCATGGTTTAGCCTTAGGGCTTTGCTTTTCCAGTCTGGATGCAGATTCCGAAAGCTAAAAGGGTTTGGCTGTATGACTGTGTCAGCAAAACTTTCCTGAATAGACCCAGGTTTGGACATCTGGACAGTGAAACTAAAGTGAAAAAATCTGTTTCTGAAGAACTTGACATTCGGTTTTGAAAATTATCAAACCATACAAGCCAATTTTTATACAAATCCATTTAGGGGGTTTTATATGATGGCCTAACACTTTGTGTACGTCACTAAGAAGGGTGCAGGGGAGTAAAATCAAATTATGAAGTTGTAGTATAACAGAGAATCATTAACTAACTGTTTTTGTTAATTTTGAAAAGGCTGAATTTTTTTAGAGCTTCTAAAATTATTGCTAATGAATGGCTTTAAGTCTTACCTGTTCTTATTTACAATTAAATGGTTAAATAACTCCCTGTACAAATTGTTCAAGTCTGCTAGTTTAACAGTACTTCTGATACTCCTTGGTACAGTCTTAAATATTTCCTCAGTCAATGGTTTGAATTGCAATTCTAAAAAAATAGAAATAGATGATACTCGTTTCTTCAGAAATTAGGCCAAAGATAGAAAATACTTTAATTACTTTTTAAGAAACCTCCTAAACAAGCCTACAGGAATCAGGAGGAGTTCAGCATTAGAGATGGAAATCTTAGGAGAGACTGATACTATTCACAAAGCTTACTAACAGGGGCTGGGTGTCTGTGAGGGAGATCAGTCAAGGAAAAAAAACAACAAAAACCAGCAGGAAGATTATTCTTTCAGCACTTACCTTCAGCTGAGCCAGGGGCTGTAGATCCTGAACAAAATGGCTGAAAATAAACAAGAGATAATGTCAGGATTTGTTGGGAGTTTTGTTTAGAAATTATTTTTTACAATTTAATTTCTGCATTAGCAATTACATTTTACCATTGGATAACCAAGGATCTTGCGGCCACTGAAGTCACCAGTGAAATCTTAGGCATTAAACAAATCCTGGTTTCAAATAAAACTAAGTTTAAAATGGATACAGAAGGATTTATATGCAAGTCAGGTGAGCCTGTTCAGCTTTCTCCTTTGCATTCTGGTGCAGATCTAGCTGAAAGCAAGGCCACATGCAAAGGAAAAAGATGGCTTTCCTGTTCTCAAGCAACCTTCAGAGGCTGACAGTTCTGACAAGCTGATGGTAGCTCTATCTAACTCTCCTCAGCCAGAAACACAGCACTGATGAAGAAATCCCAGGGCCTTTGTGACATATTTCCATCCTTTCTGTCTTTCAGAGAACATCTTCAAAAAAAAAAAGTGCTCAATGACAACATAGGGATTGATACCAATTAAAGTGGCCTCACAGTTGCAGGATATAGCTATGTTTTGTATCAGGCCTGGCTGATGCCAGCTGTACATTAAGTGCTTTAGAATTAAATAATGGAAAGAGAAATTGAAAGCATTTGTCAAGGGAGGAGAAGATAATTGCAAACCAAGAGAGAATGAAACTGCAACATACTGGATGTCTTTCATGCAAACCAACCATGGCGATAAAGGGATAGAAAGCGAGACATCCTTCGACAGAAGAGTAGTGGGCAGTGAGAAGATAAGGTCAATAAGGTAATTACACTGTATTAACCTTTAATAATTTGCTTGTAATATGAGATCCAGAGTAAATCTTTGCAGATAATTATATTAGCAGCTTGCACTTTGAGTAGCTATGGGACAATATCTTTTTAACAAGTATGAGTTTAGATCTATGCTTGCATTACAATTAGAACATACTTATTGTTACTCATGTTCCAAAATTTATTTAATATTTTACAGGAAATTAAATTTCTCTCCATTTTGATATATATTGGTTTGAATCAATTACATTCTTCACTCCCACCCAAAGGCTTCTTATATAATGAGTTAACAGAACAATAGGATCAACAAGAGCAAGCAACTGCATCTCTGAAAAGAAACATAAACATATCCCAATTAAAAAATAAAGGGAACAAAGTCTTCCATCAAAGCAAATTTTTCCTTCATGGACAATTTAATTGGAACAAATAATAAAATTAAGCAGTATACAATAAAAATTGAAAGGTTTGGTAGAAACTTGAGTCTCATTTCCAAAAAATTCCATTAATTTGAGAGGTATTAAGTCACAAAAACAGCCCTTCTGACTTCAGCTGACCTCCTCAGGATTACTGGTTTCTGGAATACTGACACTCTGTGGCCTAATTACCTCTTCCACTAGCAATTCCACTTCTTTAACAGTTTGGCAGGTTAAATGCTGTGCTGCAGTCTGTTCTTCTTCTGACAGAGGTAGGCGCTAGGAAAAAGAACAAACACAGAGAACTCTGATACTTTCAGTTCCTAGGGTGATGATATTTACAGAAGAACTCTAAGTTTGTGTAGCCCTTTTCTCATGGAAACTAATAGAAGACTCCTACTTTCCTTCAAAGGAAAGCAAATTTACAAGCAAAGTATTTCTGAAAAATCCAACCATAATATTCCTTTAGCATCAATACTATAAATTATTAAACGGAAAGATGATAAATTATTAAATAAAGAATTTCATTTAAAGACTTACATTTCTCCATAACACTTTAATCCATCTTTGTTTTAGGAAATATACAAAGTACAAGAAAATCTTTATCTAAAAGGTCTAAATATAACTCAAGAGACAAGAGTCTTCCACTTTAACAAAATCCAAATATGAAATTATTCTTGGCAGCAAATCCTTGGAACGCAGGGAGAGAAAATATTTTTTCCTTTCTGTGACATATAACTACTGCCTTTTAAATCATTATCCAGTACATTTTATCTGGATAGACTAACCACTAACTTGTCAACTTCTCTAGAGCTGTTGACAGAATAAACACAATCTCAGGGCACTGTCATTAGAACATTAAAGCGAGAGCTGAGATCTGGGAATGTTTTAGTCACACCAGTTCTGTCTTTGCCACTAGACTATCAATTAGCTTTTTTGATCTAAATCACCTTATTTGTAAAGAGACAAAATTAATGTTTACACAACCTCTTCGAAGCTGTAATGAAGCAGCGTCTGAAGACCACTTATGAAAATGTGTTGTCTGTTGTTGGTTTTTAATAAATAGTTGGACATTATCACACTGAGAAAAACTTACCTCTTAAGCAATTGCTTAACAGCAATTCCACTGCCTACGTTACAATGTGTTGGTTTTAACTCACCTTAGTGAAAATACATATGACAGTTAAAAGCTTTTTTTGCCTTTTAAAATTGGTTTCACTGTCTAATTTCTTTAAGGCAGCTACTTTTTTAAAAAGTCAGTGTAGGACTAGGACACAGCGGTGCACAGAAGCATCAGTTTCTATGAAGCTATTCAAACACGTGTCACACTTTTCATAGAATCACACTATTATGGCATTACTTCAACTCCAAAACCCAATACCACTTGCTTCACTGTTGTGTGATGTATCAGGCTCATGATTTACAAAAAGCACTCCAGTCTTACAAAGATTTCTTCAGGTAAATGGTCTTATCTTCTAAGAGCCTGCACATGTAACAGTTTCCACTGGAACTGCTCACATCTACATAAAGGTTACACAAATACATGTTCATTTACAGGAGTGAGACCCAAGTGATTAAAATGAAAATACTACCTCCAGATCAGTATGTTCCTGCAATGCCTGAGCCATCTTCATTGTGTTCTCTAGAGCAGCACGGATGCTCTTCATGGATTCTCTCTGCTCTATGGAAACCTTTTCCAGCTGTATACACAGCGTTTTGTAACGAGATTTCATCACTGAGAGCTCTTCCAGGAGAGTGACTGGATTTTCCTATGTAGAAATTAAAAGTACATTTAAACTGTTTAAGAGAAAATTAATGTGGCCACATACCAATTAAAAGTGCAGGCGTTAGAGCCACTAAAATATAACATGAAACGACCCTTTACAATGCAAAGTGTAGCTGTGAGTGTGTTTCATCTATACATTTAATTTTTCATAAGCAAAAATGACAGTGTTAATAAAACAGCACAATTCTGTGGTTCCCCAACAAATACAGGAGGATGAATTTATCGTGGTTTTGGATTTTAATGGCTTTTCTAAATTGGAATAAATCAGGGACTTCTAACCAAAAGGATTATTTTTCCACTGTATGTCACAATATACATGGAGACAAGGACTTACTTATAAAATCCTTTACATGCTGCCATTTCCTGTTTTCCTCTTCCTCTCATCTCTCCCCCAAATCTGAATTTAGTCACTGCTTATCAGTAAGTTTATCTTTGAGCAAGGATATGTTTTAACTTGGATTGGAATCTGGATCAAATTTAGGTGTTGCATAAAGCAAAACGTGGGAGAATTTCACTAAACCAAGAAATCTAGGAAGTTCTGTTGGTTTCTGCACTGAATTCAAATTAGGCCAGTTATCTTCATATATGATGCAAGAAATACTTTTAATAATAATAAAAACCTAACAACTAGATAAAAGAACACCCACATGTATTTTAGGATTAAAGAAAATTATCCCTTTATTACCAACTTCATGCAAAATGCAATAATATCTATTAACTTAATCTGAAAATACTACCTCTTCTGCTGGATTATCAGGAAGACTTTTCATTATTTCAAACTCCAGTCTGTGTTGAATATAATCCAGATCAGATTCTGCCTTCTGGAACTAAAATATTTAAGGTCAGCCACAGTGTATTAAAAAACAAAAATTGCAGACAAACCCCAACCATTTGCTTTTCCTGTATTTCAGGAAAGCAGAAGCCAGATGCCTCCGTTTTAAAGGCTCCTGCACTAGAAAAGTAAGTTTCTATTCCTCAAATCTATCCCACTAGCTAATGTTTGACAGTTACACTGACACATTTCTAGCCTGAAAAATACAAAGGAATAAACTTTCAGACTTAATATAACCATTTTCCTCTCACATGTAAGAATTAAACGCGTGTGTACAGACAAGCACCTCTGTTAATTTTTCCTCTTTCCATTTGTCTGACCCAAATTACCCCATTGTTCTCTTGGCATTTTGGCATTAGCACCTTTTTCATGCAGCTCCCCAGAACCCATGAAAACATTTCCATCTCTTCCTATATTATCTTCCATCTCCCTTGCAGTGCCAAACCTCTCAGGATGAGGTTTAAGAAGTACACCAAAGAGACAGATTATGTCAGTAGAAAAGAACACATATTGTTTTTAAACTGATCTTCACTTGATGCAGGAGATGTGTGATTTTTTTTTTCTCCTGAGATATTATCATATTTTCCATCAATTTTTAGAGCTTTTTCTTGGCTATGTGCTTTTCTTTTCAAACCTTAAAAGTTCTGTTACAAAACTGCAATACTCAGTTATTTACACAGCAGAGCTTATGATGAGTGTTCAGGATCCAAGCATATCAGAGATTTTATTATCAATTATATTAGGAATGCATTCTCACAGATGGTTATAATACCCATAATACATTTTATTATTCCCCAATAAACCAGACTGACAAATGGATAATAAAATTGATGACATCACTTATCTTTCCTTGGGATAAATAAGCCACCAGAGAATTATCTAATTGCCTTGTAAAACAGTCTGCTGATAGCACTATTACTTAATTAATTTTAGTCTGCAATTTTAATATCTATTAAAGCTTTCTGCTTTAAAGAAAGGCAGTTTTCCCAGTTCACAAACAACTCAGGAATTTGTTAACGTAATAATTTGGGGATTTTACAGTCACAGAAGAGACAATAATAAAGGCAAGTTAAAAATGCTTGTAACTTCTTTAACTTGGTTTTCACTGTTTTTATTGAGATTAACCCTGAAGTAACAATGACTTTTTAAAGGATCAAAATAAGGCTGTATTAGCTGTATCCCAAGGAACTGACTGGCAGTGCAGGACTGGTAGCTAAAGTGACAACCGTCAGGAGTCTCTGGATGTAGCCTGTAGTCAGGCCTGGCTACCTAAAGGATGTTTATGTTTTAAACATCAGCCTTGGGATTCACCTTCAGGAGCTCTGATTAGAACCTTGGAGGATCTGAACTGCAGATGGCCTCAAGGAACAGTATTCGATCCAAGACACTCTACAAGTAAAATCCCCTTCTCGACATATTGCAAATATATGATCTTTCAGATATACACACCCCTCAGCAAGTCTTCAAATAATAGCCTAAGAAAAGGAAAATAAATCTAGTAAAGACCCTGAGCATCTATAAATCAAAGGGAAAGCTTTCACCCGTTGCTCCCATAACTTACCATTTGCCCAACAAAACTCCTTCCCACATCCACCCCAGCACCCAGGCATGATAAAATGTGAGAATAAAATACTTTTTATTACACTATGTATTTTTAAAGAGTTCATGAGGGATTTTTTTCCCTAACTGCTCAATCATTTCTGTTCTCCTCCACTCCCAAGTATTTTTACGTTTTCACTTCTAGAGGCAGGCACCCCAAAAAGATGAGTTTTTTGCTTTTCTCCAACTCGTCCATCTGATTAATTGTTGAAAGCAGAGAATTAATATGGGTGTTTTTTTAAATTATCCCTGAAGGTCTGTTCCTGAAATATTCAATATTGATAATCTGAGATTTACAGAACAACAGTAAGCCACTAATACCATGCTACAATTATGATTCAAGACATTGAAAACTGAATGTGAAGCTGAATGCTTGTCCATTGTGTGACTATAATTTTAAGATCTGTGCTTAATGACAGTATTAACAGAGTTCAGTATCGCTGCTTTCTCCTGAAAGTATATTAAGAAAAAAGTTTATTATCAGCAATTTTACAGCATGATTATAAGCACTGTCATATGTCCTTCCATAATGATCCATTTTTTCTTTACTTTATAACTATTTACTTCTTGCTGTATTACAGGAAACATAAATCTGCTCAAATCTCACCTTAATGTTACGGGTTAGGACCATTTGTGTGATGAGTATTGTACAAGCATCACACAGAAAATGCAGTTTGTTACATGTGAATTTGTGATTTACTCACAGGCTTAGAAGAAAGGGTTAGAAACCGTGCGGCCAGGCTCGAGCCATCGCTGCCTCCTCTGCTTTCAGATGCTTTGACAATACTATTGCACTGCTAGCTGTACACTACAGTAGTGCAATAAAGTCAGAGCATTCGTTAGCAGCAACAGGTCTGTACACGCAATCAAGACACAACATTTGTATCAAAAAACAGGGCGAGTCGAATAGTGTTTTCTGTGGATCGGGGAGAATTGGATACGGTTAACGTTCAGCAAGTCCTCATACAGCCACAAGAACTCACATATCTCAAGACATTATTATTATTATTATTCATAATGCCTCTCCACTGACCAAGAGGAGGGGAGGGGAAAAAAACACCCAACAAAATGCTCAACAGAAATTCAATTTCACACAATTTGATGCTCTTTTAGCTAGAAACTACATTTCCCAATTTATTTATTTCTTAGATTTGCCTCATAGCAAGCAAAGATTCTAAACTGCTATCAGACAGAGACAGACATTCTTAAACTTCATTAGAGGGAATGTTTTCTGGACACCAGAAAATATATACAGGAAATATTTTCTAGACACCAGAGTTTCTATTTCTCATTTGCAGGTGTCAGATCACTTCAGAATACACTTAAATGCACACTCATTTCCCAACATTGTGGATGGACATTAGCACAGGGGTTACCATATGGGTGTTAGAGCACCACCAAATTGGGGGTGTATTTCCTAAATCTCAATAAAGGTGTTTCTTTTTAACTAACTTTATATAAAAGGTTTGAGAACTCTTAGGGCTTGAAGGCACTAAGATTCTTAACAACAAAATGCAGAGAAACAGCGGAATGGAGTGGAGAGATGATTGCCAGTGCACACAGAGCAACAACCTGACTCAACTCCACACCTCTAACATTCCTCTAGAACAGGCTGTAGGCACTAAGAACACTATTCAGTCATCTTTTCTCTTTGGAGAGCACTTACTTCTAAGGAACCACACACAAAGTTGATGGTATTTGTCATTAAAAGGCCAGTTAACTTTTCTCCTTGGCAAATAACTAGAAGACAGAAGGCAAAAATGAGTGGCAATGCCATTTTATAGTTGTTTTGCAAATCCCTTTCTGGTCTCAGTGACTTTTGACTTGTGACTGTAAGAAGAAGAATGAGTAACGCAGCCAGTATTGCTGGCCAATGCCCTTTTAACATTGCACTGCTTTTTGTGCATGATCACTAGTAGTACAACATAAAAAGGGCACTGGACAGACACCACTCAAAGAAAAAGTAGGTCCACTAGACCAAAAATACGGTGACAGAAATTAACCTCACTGTTCTGAATGAAGCACTCTCAGCTCATCTGACAGTTTATCCATTTGTTATCAAATTTTACTAAATGGATGTCCACAAAAATACTCTCAGTGCAGACTGAGGAAAGCATTAGCTCAGTATGTGAAGTCCTGAGGATGAAAGGTTGATGAAATGGTTGTTGTACAGAAGGACACATTTATCATTTATCACCATTTACCACCATTTATACACTAATACGTAGAGTATTTTCATTAGAGGCCCAACTCTGGGTCTGCTGAAGCTGTTGGAAAGATCTCCAGTCCCAAGTGGCTTCAATGAACACTTGTGCAGCACAGTCTCAGGTGCCCAAGGCCTACAATACAGCACCCAGTATTCTCATTTAAATTGTTAATAAGTCAGCTTTGCAATCTTTTGCATAATGAATCTCATCTGATATCGGAGATGTTATGGTTCATTCAGCTCTTCTTGTTGCTGTTCTTTGAGCAATAGTCTCAAATAACCAGCAATTACCTGGTGTTTTCATACACATTGTTCTTTTTAAGCTCCTACACAAGTTACTTTATCCCATGATTTAGTTCCATGAGACTAAAATGAAGCTTTCCATTAGATGCACATCAAAACCAGTGGGGAATTTAGAAGAGTTCTTTTATCACACTTCTGTGGAGAGAGCTGACTTCACAGGAACTCCAGGAAGAAGAAACAACGAGCAGAGGAAAAGCAAGAGACACAAAGCTGTGATGTGAGACACAGTTGTCAATGTACGAATTCTGATTAACTTAATGACAAAAAAAATTGCACTTTTGAATGAGGTTTAGATATAGGAAATTAATAAGTGAAATTGAGGTGTATTTCAGAGATGTTAACCTGCATGTCATTGCAATAGTAAGACGCTTTTGAGTGACTATTTTAAGCTACAATACTATTTCTGTTAAGAAATAAAAAGTAACAATTTGACTAAATGCCAAAATACCTGCATTGGTTGAAAGATCAGAGAATTCAAACTTTCCTACCTAATTCTCATTTTTACTGCACTTTAAAAACAAAGTGGTGTGTTTTGTTTTGTTTTTTCTTTGAAGAAACCATTCTTTTGAGGAGCTGGGGTTATTTTTGCTCTCCATTTGAGACAACAAACACTTACTTGCCCATTGTTACTAATACATTAAAGGGACACTTTATGCTGGTGCTGGAGAAAAATGACTGAAGGAGCAATAAAGTGAAAGTTACCTAAACAAGTTTAAACACAGGGCATTATGCACCACACCAATTTAGTGTGTTAAAGTCTAGCACTCATTAGGTTAAGGGATAATGTGGATATATAATATTCCTCACCATGTTCTCCCACTGTTCCTTCTATTCTTAATTTCTCTTGAATATTCCACTTTGGTGATGTCACTGTGTACAGA